CCCCCAAAGGGGCCGCACCCCCCCCAGCAGCGCAGCACCCCCGGACAGTGACACATCTCCCCACCCCAGCCGCTGGCGTTCCTGCCCTGTCCCTCCCCAGCCCTGGCCACCCCCGGGGGCCCGGCGTTAGGTCCCAGCACTGCCCACGCTCCGGTGCCGGGGCCTTGCCGGGGTGTGGGGTGGGTGACAGTTCGGGGGGCCCGCGCTGAGGGTTCCCCGTGCCCAGGAGGGCAGCGCGGGCTGATGGAGCACAGCCAGCTCTGGCCTCTGCCCCGCGGTGAGGGGTGACGGGCACCCACTCGAGCAGATTTGCCAACCGGTCCCAGCTCCCACGGCGCTGAGGGGGCGTCCCGGGGTCTGCCCGGTGCCGCTGCCTGGTGGCGGATGGCCCGAAGGGGTGTGTGGTGTGTGTGTGTATGTGGGGTGTCTCCAGGGCTGCGCTGGCCCCGCGGACCAAGGGGCTCAGAGGCAGGCGCTTTAACTACTGCAGACAGCGATCCCCGGAGTCACCGCTCAGGCTGGAAGCCCAGGGGTTGAAAACATGTTTTCTAGACTAGGGAAATGTTAGAATTTTAGGTTTGAGACTTTCAGGGTGACCAAGAGCCTTGTTTTGTTATTTTGCTGGTGCCAGCAGTGGGGTGTAGGTTGAACAGGGGAGAGTTACTCGAGTAACTGAGCGGTAATGAGGTAGGGTGCGGTGTGATGGGCTGCTTATGGTGGATAAGTGCATGAATCAAACGCATGTGTGTATGCATTTTGTGTTTTCTCCAGGCTACAGATAATTATCTTCTGAGCAAACATCATATTTGAACAGCTAAATTGTCAAGGAAATATGACTTGCTATCCAATATTTGGATAGTGTGCTGAGAAATCAGTAGGTTGTATTAAAAAAAAAAAAAAAAAAAGCCCAAACCAAAACAATTTGGGGTTTATACACTTCTAAGAAACAAGCATTTTTGATTAACTATTGTATATGCCTGTCATGGAATACTTTTTCTTCCTGCTTCTTTTTGTGTGTGTGCAGGTGCTAGGTTTTAATTCTAAATGTGGTTCATCTTAGCAGAGCAGATTTCTAATAGCCTCTAAATGGAATCATTAATGCATTGTGCTTTTCAGCCATTCAGCTTTGCGTGGTTTCTGCATTAATTACCATTTTTATCCCACAGCTATGTTACTCTGGTTTGTCCACATTCACTGACCACGTAAAATTCGATATAGGACTTCTTGAGCGTGTTGTTTGCTGGGTCCTTAAAGATTCGGGAAACTGGGTTAGCGTGAGGGGAAGAACAGTGGGTGTTTGTAAATGCATTAGATCCTTCACTTCCCGGGGTGATCGTTAGTGGGGTTCTTAAAGACCCTTTCAGCCTAGGTTGTTCCTCTGAATCTAGGCCAGACAAGTAATAGCTTTATATGGCAAAATTTGCTGTTTTCATAGCTTGGGTGAAATGAGTTTTGTGGGTTTCAGTTGGCTTCTTACAGGGGTGGGCTGTTTCTCTTTGAACAACCTGTTGCAGCTGCATGAATTCAGCAGTCCGGGCCTGGGGCACGGCTGCCCTGGTGCCCTCGCTGCCGGGGACCGTGTCTAGAGCAGCATCACGGCTGGGGGCAAGGGGCTTCGTTCTCCAGCGTCATCAGACCGAGAGTGCTTCCACGCTACTAAATGTTTAAAGTTCACCCAGTGATGAGTGTCAGTGCTTGTTGCTTATTTCAGGCTTTATAATTCTGTGTCTTGCTTTTGGTTTTACTTTAAAAGTGGCTGTTCTCTCCTGCAAAGTATATTGTAATCTGTTTCCTTGTGAATAAAAAAAGAGGAAGTTCCTTTTAACACGTTGTCAGTGTAGAGAGAAAGAGTGCAGTTCTGTGTCAGGTCAGTAAGTTTCTATAAATCATTTCCACCCTTACTTTCTTATCCTAAGGGCTCACATCTCTGCTCATAGTTGCTCACCTAAATTATCCCTGTTGGGGTTACTAATCACGTGACTAAAAACACACACCTGAAAACTAAATAGCTGTTTCTTCATTTGCTGCTTTTATCTGATTTTTAAAGGGTTGCCCCTGCAATTTCTATGTTAGATTTGTTTAAGACAGAGTAAAGTTGATTGAGTTGTTAGCAGGGTTAATAACTGGGTGTGACTTTCTTGAGCAGAAATGAGTTCAGAAAGTCTTGAATTAATCCAAGACTTCCATTTAGAGAGCAACCTATAGCTGCAATCAAGCGCTAGGGAGTTAATAGGTAACACACACATTTGAGCACAAGCTGCAGTAATAGGAATTTATAAATGTAGGGCTGCCCACAAATTACAGCCTGCAAGTTGATGGCTTATAGGAGGTTATTGCACATACTGAGTAACTGTGACTCAGATGGGAGTCTCAAAGGATCTTGAACGCTGACATACCCTGCGTACTGGGGTATGGTGGGTCTTCTGGTGGGCATTCCTCCTTACCAGTAATGTTTGTTTGGGTGACTTCTCTTCTTCTATCCAGCATCCTTAGAGGATTGTTCTGCCTGTGGAAGAAGATAGTACTAGGAGTCTGCTGAGTGTATTCTCAGCAGCTGGAAGGAGGTGAGCTGCCACCATAGGACCGCGCAGCTGTTCATGGTGCAGGACATCGTCTCCAGGCACTTCTGATGCTGAATGATCCCTGCTGCGGGGCCCGCTGTGGCAGTGCACGAGAAGGGCAGTGGGTGGTCGGTTCTGGGTTTGGTATTACTGAGCAAGGAAGCCAGGGAGTCCCCTCACCGTCACCGTGAGCATTGCCTGGTGCAGCATTTGTCCCCCAGCTGCCCAGTGGGGTAGGAGATGTGCGGTGGCACAACTGTTTGTTCACATCACCTCTTGGTGCTCTCGTCCTGTGGGGGAAAAACCCTGTACTTTAGTTACGTCTCCTGCGTGGCAAGCAGAGTAGGACTGCCTCCTCTGCCCATTCCCGCTTGTGAAGCCTTTTGAGATTTTTAAAGTTTTGCCTGTCCAAAATGTTGCATTTCCAGCTCTACAGCTACACATACATATTATCTGATTTCCAGTAGCCTTCGAATGACCATTCATTTTCTGCGGGTATGAAATAGCGGGTGTTCAACTTCCTTGGCTGTTCTGCTGCGTGTCTAGGATCCCATCTTGATGAGTCTCACC